TAATATAATTTTCCTTTGGTATTTATGGATTTTACTACGCCCTCTGTTATTCAAATTTTCCTTATGATAAATTTTCTCCTGATTTCTATTTTTTTAGTGTGTTTTTCAATTGTTCGAGTTAATTTTTCTGTGGAAGCTGTCATTGCTTCTTCAATTCTGGTTTCATTATATACGATTAACCAATTTGTTTCTCCCAGTTCCGATTTCAGTTCAAGATAGTTTATATATTTCTTATAATCCACGCTTTGCTTTTTTTCAGTTATTTTCAAAATCATTACTAATAATGTGGTAAAGTGGTCAGCGATTCCTGATTTGATTATAATTGGTAGGTTCTCTTCTAGTAGGCATTTTGATTTTGTATTCATAAAGATATGATCTGAACAACTTGATGAATTATTTTGTACTCTTGTGGGTTTGTTTATTATTGAGACGTAGTTATATTTAGATATTACATTCGGATAATCGCTAGATATCTCTTGATCTTCTACAAGAATGTCGATGTTGAAGTCACCTATAAAAATATGATGCTGGAATTCATTATTTCTTATTTTTTTTAGATAACCCGACCAGATCTTGACGAATGATTCGAAAGAAGTTGAGGGGGGTCTGTATATTGCTGTTATTGGAATATTTTCATTTTTTGACATTTTTATGTCTATCTCTATTATGATCCATACTCACAAAGACACTATATTTGATTTATATTCAAGATTGTTCCTCAGGAATACTACACCATCGTTTTTGTCAATTCCACCATTATTATATATTGAATCATATCCATTCCTGCAGTCTACGATGATAATAATTGTCTTCTTTTTGAACAGAGAGGCCCAAATTGGACAATTTTAAAGGGAAGAAAAATTCCAGTTTTCAAACTAGATAGATGAAAACTGATGGCTGTGTCTGAAGGTCAAATTTTATGGCAAACTCAATGGTGAAAACCACATATCGATATCTGTCAGCGATTCTGAGTTAAAGCATATTTTTCGAAAATGTACTTTTCCGAAAAGTTTCTGTAAATTTCTTCTCGGCAAAAATGTCTTGTTTATATGAAAACATTCTCAATGCACTTTTGTACGTAGAATTTAATGGTGTTAAATTCTTATTTTTTCAAATGAGATATTAATAGTTATTGATAGAAAACTATTTTTTAATGAGACACCCTATATATTTAAATATTTCAATAGGGCGTAAAATTACATTTCCAAAAATGTAGCACACTTGTTGTTTTGCTTCAAAATACATAGCGCAGTGATTGGAAATGCCGGCACTGCTCACATAAGCTTCGTTTGTTCAAATACAAGTTGCCGAAAAATTACGCACTTGGTTACAAATTTCCAGGAACCTGTGGCAAAAAGTCATTCGGCGTTCACAATCTCTTGGTCTGAGTTGATGAATTCTTCTGGTCCTCTATGGCTTTTGTGTTTGTTTGTTGAATTGAAAAAAAAACACTAATTGAAGAGCGTCTTCACTGCTTGAATCAAAATTTGACAGCTACCAGTAAACATTTGCATTCTGTTTTATCGCCGCATCGTCCAAAGCCTACTTGACTAAAGTATGCATTTCAAAGTCTACATAAAAAAACTAAAAACTCTGTATTTCAAAGATAACTTAAGCAAAATATCGGGTGTGTTACATTTTTTGAAAGGTAATTTTAAGCTCTACTGAAATATGCAGGAATATACAGGGTGTCTCATTGAAAAAATAGTTATCCATCAATAACTATTGATCTCTTATTTGAAAGAATGCATTTTACACCATTGAATTCTACTTAAAAAAGTACCCTGGAAATGTTTTCTCAGAAACAAAAAATTTTCGACAGGAAAGAAGTTTCAGAAATTTTTCGAAAATGCACATTTTCGAAAAACATGCTGTAACTCAGAAACGATAGTAGATATCGATATGCAGTTTTCACCATTAAGACACAGTCAACAGTTTTCATCTATCTATTTTGAAAACAGTAGTTTCCTTTCAAAAGTGTCCAATTTGGCCCACTGTCCATATGTCTAATTTAATTAGTAATTGGTAATTGGAAAACTATCTAGATCGATACGATATCAATTGTCAACATATAAATACGTTAGTTGTCATAAAAATTTCATGCACTTCGTAAATGTCCTTTACGTCATTCTGTTCAAATATATATCTCAAAAGTTATCGGAAAATTGATATAGTACGTGAAAACTCATTATGATATATATTAAGTAAAGTCCTGGCAGTGATGCAATAAAAACAGAGAAATCTTATGAAACGGGAGGAGTTGGATGAATGTTCATTTTGAAACTTATTTAATTCAACTATAAATCGTTTGTTTGAAGGTGAGTGCGGAAAATCCTATATTGGTGAAACTAAGAGGCCATTGAATGTTCGCATTGCCGAGCATAAGAAACACACACAGCGAAGGAAAACCAGCAAGTCAGGAATAGCAGAGCATGCTTGTACCCATCAACACAACATCGAATGATCCCAAGCTGAGATCATACACAGAGAGGAACATTGGTTCAGGATGGAGAAAATTCAAAGAAGCCGCATACATGTTGTACAACAACGTATTCAGCCAAGCTAGCGTAGAGATACGCAACATATGGAAACCCATCATCAAGCGAAAAATGGCCAACTCCCGCCAAACGGTCATCTCCCTCTAAACCAGTGAAGCGAAAAAAATGGAAAACGGGGATGAGTGAAAGTACTCGAATGACCTATAAATATTCTACTTGATGAAATCAATAACAGGAAGTATGTGACAAAAAATCATAGTGGAAAGCTAGGAAAGTTCGTTGCCCCCTCCCCAGTGAATAAAAAAAATCAATATTTACAGCTCCACCACCACACCATTCACGATACGAGTATATCAAGTTTTCCATGTCGGTTTTAACCCATTTCTTTTATAATTGAGAATTAGTTTCCATGATAACTTCATTAAAAGTTTATATCTTCTTTCAAACTAAAAGCAATATCCTAACTTTGGAGTTTTGACGTGTTAATCAACGGTGGATGTTGGTGAATCTTATAAGTTTGGAGGGTCAAAGTTGTGTAGTCACGAACATGCTGTTGGAGATTGTGTATAAATTCCCAAAGTATATCGGGTGTGGGTACACTCCTAATTTGTATAATTAATGAATGTGAATTGAACAATCATGATGGTGAACGTTTTTACTGACCCACTGAAAATGAAATCAATTCAAATTCTCGAT